AGGCCTCATTAATGCTACTGTATTCCTTGTTATTTTCAGTGTGGCCAGGGAAAGTTAATACACACATAGAATCTGCTGGCACTCTGCCCATTGTGTTTTATTGACCTACGAGCACAGATAAGTGATATGGGGCAGGAGTATGCTAAGGGCATGCTTGCTCCTCAGCTTCCGCATTGCTAGAGTGGATTAATTGCAGGTCCATCTATGCTGGCATGTAGTGTGCCACCCTGAAACGTAGGAATCCATTTGGAAATGGACCTTAATGGAAAATGAAGTAATGTTCTGGGATCGTGGCATTGTCTGAAGCTGTGCTTATCCTTCTCCGCTTTTGGAAACTGGCTCATTCTTTGTGCCTAAAAATAGACCAAGTTGCGAAGGGAAGGAACAGAGTCACAAGACAAATGGGTAACTATGTCCCTTGAGTCATATATACTAAATAATACTGCTCAAGGCGCTCAATTTAATTGAGGTTTGTAACCCTGTCCACAGTGATGTGAATTCTAGTGGCGTGTTTGAGGGCACGAGAACTTCCAACTTTATAAACAGAGTATCAGAACTTCCACATGGCACCAAGTTACACTCTGACCTGTTCATAGAATCATAGAATGGTTTGGGTTGGAAGGGACCTTAAAGATCATCCATTTCCAACCCCTCTGCCATCAGCAGGGACATCTTCCACTAGATCAGGTTGCTCAAAGCCTCATCCAGCCTGGCCTTCAACACTTCCAGGGAGAGGGCATCTACAACTTCCTTGGGCAACCTAACCTGTTCTACCACTTGCTGCTGATAGGACCACACATTGTTCTTTCACATTCTCCATCCTTTCCGGATGCTGCCCCATCCCCATGTGGCATCGTGACATCCCTGTTCTGTACTGCTGAGGGCTGTCCTCTTTCTCTTGTCCTGGCAGAGGCTGAGCTCGTACAAAAACAGCTGCATAACACTTAATCAGGGAAGGAACAGGACCCAGAGTTAGAGCGCTTCTTAATTGCAGAAAATGTTAAAAACAAGAAGGTGTAAAGATGTGTCTGCTCCTGTCTGTGTGTAGGTGGAAAGAAAGCTGCCCAGTCAGTTTTCATTCCTGTCACGTACCACCTGACTCTTAGTCAACTCTAACCATCTCTCTAATCTCCAAAACAAGTTATTCACCAATAACTTCTTCACAAGTGGGATTATATTTGTGTTTCCATAAATCAGGCAGAAATGTTAACTGCATTATCTTACACAGTGTTGTGTTTTCCTTTTGGTTTTTCTTTGCACAGGAAGAAGCAGAGATCCAGGCAGAGCTGGAGCGGCTAGAGAGGGTTAGAAATCTACATATCAGGGAATTGAAAAGGATACACAATGAAGATAATTCACAGTAAGCACATGGGATCCGGGGACAAGAACATAAAAGAGTTTGTTTTTATTTGTCCCCTTCATAATGGGAAGCACTTAATGTTTTTTAAATTGGCATTACAACTTAATATGTCACTTGATTGGGGTGTGGCATGTTGATAACGCTTGAAGTTCATATAAGACAAAGGCTTCCAAGTGCATCAAGACACCATTATATAGTCTTTCATCAGTGCAAAGTGATCAAATCATATCAAATCTGTCAGTCATTGACACAGTTTTAATATTTTTTCTGTTTTAATGTAAAAATGTTGTTTCTAAGCTGTGTATTATCTGTAATTTATTGTGCAGTAGGTTGCATTATTTCTGTCAGTGTTCTTAAACTCTGTTTTTTCTTACCAGATTTAAAGACCATCCAACGCTAAATGATAGGTATTTGTTGCTACATCTTCTGGGTAGAGGCGGCTTCAGTGAAGTATATAAGGTAAATTTGAAGTGGCAATCTGTGGTGTAATCTGAATCTGCAGTGAAATACTGCAGTAAGCTGATTTTTACACTTGTTTTCTCAGTGGTGTGTGTGGTTGTAGAGGGAAGAAGGGAGGACAAAGAACGTGTTGCATCTGGCTTGTATTAGACAGCTGGCTTGAGATTTTTAGGTTCTGCCCTTGTCCTCAGAGGTCAGATTTCCTGCAAATGTATGTTTCAACAAAATGTTGTGCCAAGTTTTGTCAAGGCAGGGAAGCAAACCACTATATTTCCTTCAAGGGCTACACACGAATACCTTAAGTAGCAAAGTTTTACTGAGTATGGCATAGCAAGTCTGAACATCACCGAAAATAAGAGAAAATAGCTCCAATAATAAGAGCAAAGCCCTCATTTCCTGGGGCTAGAAGCCTTTTTTATGTGTGTGTGTGTGTCTTCATTTTACGCTCTGAAGTAGCAGACTGGGTGTGTAGTCTTGGGACTTCCTTGGAACCGAGGTTTACTTGTGTGTCAGCACTCTGATGGCCAAGACCTGTGATACTTTGGTGCTTGCTATTTGACTATTATGCTTAAAGTCTTTCCACTTCTAAACATTCCTCATCTGTACCCAGTAGTTCTTAATTAATGTTAAATTTGGCTAGAATGAAAATAACTGTGTCAATGTAAATATTGGAAACTTCACAGCAATTTATTATTTTGATGAAGTACAACAATAGGTATCCAAACCATGGGGGGGCTGGAGTGTTCAGGTAGTGAAAAAAGAGTGTGAGCTGCAGTAAGTGCTCTGAATTGCTCTTTGGAGGCTTTGCTGACTAAGTAGAAAGCCTGAGCTCCACAAATGAAAGTAAGAGGGTATGAATGCTTCATACCTTCCCACACTTAAGAGTTGTAACTACGTTATTAAAACAAAGAAATGCTTAACCCTTCTTCTCCAAGGTCTTGGCCAGTCTATTAAGCATTAGGAGTTAAGTATACAACTTTTGAGATGGACACAAGGAGATTATCCTTGTCTGCTTACAATAGGATTTTGCCCTGTCTTATAAATTATTAGCTGTTGCTGCTCTCAGACAAGATAAAAGATTTCTGCATTTCTCCAAGAGTAAAATTCCAGAGGTTCATTCTTCAAAACCTGTCTAAATAGAAATAAACTGGAGGGGAAAAATACAGCATAAGACTTACACAGGTCTGCCATTTAATTCTCCAGCTTATTTCTAAATAAGCTGAAACATTATGCTGCAAGATGGGAGAACTAAGCTACCAGTGTGAAACAAAGTATTGAAAATCCTCTGTATGTTTTGGGCTTTTTTTTAACTGAGTGTAGAAAATGAGTTAGGGGGTTTGGGGAAATAATGGGAGAGTCTTTCCCAGTGTGATTAACTGTTTATATTTTGGTAAATTGGCCTTTCTGAGCCCATTGTAGCTCTGGTGGTAAAATGTCAGAATAAATGCAGCATTAGAGTTGGATCCCATGGGGAAGGTCAGATCAAAGCATAGAATATTCAATTGTTTTCAGAGTTGCTTGGTTTCATTAGTGAAACTAATTACATCAAAATGTGGGTTTGCGCTTCACTCAGTATGTTGTAATGCTGATTTCCTGGGTGGGGATATTGGTTTGTTAGAGCTTGTCTGCTTTTGCAGTATTAGCTTGAAGTTGTGATTCCTACTGATTTTCAGCTCTTCTCTCTGCAGGCTTTTGATTTAACAGAACAGAGATATGTAGCTGTGAAAATACACCAGTTAAATAAAAACTGGAGAGATGAGAAGAAAGAAAACTATCACAAGTAAGTAAGGCTGGAAAGCAGCCAGCCATGTTTCCAAACTCCTCCTACATTTGGTTATCCAGTGTCTGTGACAAGCTGACATTTTTTTCTCATGTTTTGCCACATTTCAAAAGCCACTTTGTCACAGCTTCTTGCAAAAGTCATGGTCAGATTAGAAATGTTTTAAACATGTGCACACACACACAGTTTTGTGTAAGTACTACAGCACAAGGTTTTAAAGCACCAGTAGTGCTCTGTGAAGAAAGCACTAAAGTCTCTCCTCCTCTCTGAAATGACTCATTTCTGCTCTCGTGGGAGACATTTGTTTATACCTGTATTCCAGGTACACACCTGCATTGTGCTCCCTGAAGTCCTTCCCTCTGTTTCCTGGAATCCTTTCACAAATGATTAGGACTATATGTATGCCATGGCCTAGAAGGGTGGTACAAGAAGCCTTTTGGTGTTGGTGACACTTTCTCCCTAATGCTGTGGATTAGATAAGCTCTGCAGAATGGCAACCAAGCCTTCCTGATAGTGTTTCAAAGATAAAGCTGTCATCTTCATTTCCCAACAAGTCACTGGGACAAACTAAGCTGAATTTGAGGCCTGGAAGTTGGACTGTTGAGCATGATGGAATTTTTGAGAACTTGCTGATTTTTGTATTCAGCTATCTTGGATCCCTTAACGATTTTTTTATGAGTTTATTCTATTTTGGCAAGCAGTACCATTAATCAAGATTACTTATTTTGTAGTATTGCCAGCATTTGAGATACACTCAGATTCTGTGGTTCTAAAGAACTGTTCAGTGTAGTTCCTCATTTGCTTGCCTTTTCTTCAGCTGTGTGAATAACGTGCATGGGTTTGATTGAAGTTGGACTGCTGTGTGGTACGTCTGGGTTTGCTATCTGCAGAACTTAGAATTAAGTCACTTGTATGACTAATGCTCAGACTTTCCTATTTTCAGACATGCATGTAGAGAGTACAGAATTCACAAAGAACTGGATCATCCTCGAATAGTTAAGCTATATGACTACTTTTCGCTGGATACTGACTCGTAAGTTATGTTGCTGTGTCCTTTGACTTGATTTTCACTAGAGATAATAAAGTATTTGGTCTCTTAAAACTTTCTAGGAGAGACCAAAGAATGTCCACACCAATGTTACAGACTGTACTGCAGAGATGTTTGAGGCAGTTTTGACTTACATTGGTTTTCTAGAGACTCTAGCTCACAAACCAGTATGTCTTATTATGTCAGGTGTGATGCTTTACTAGTAAATCCTACTCTTTTTTGGCCTGGGCAAATGCTCCAGCTGATACAGCTTTCTGCTTCTGGGTCTAGCACTTAATGGGGGATCTCTGACCTTTGTACTATTGAGCATTGAGGACTGTGCTCCTGGGAGCTTATTTTTAGAAAGGGATTAATAGGCCGGAAGACTCTTAATTTAATATATTGACCGAATAGATGAGTCTCCCAGACAAGCAATAACAAAGTGTTCTGGTTTCTATCAGGTGCCTTAATTACAACAACTACTGTTTTGCCTTCAGGTTTTGTACAGTGTTAGAATACTGTGAGGGGAATGATCTGGACTTCTACCTGAAACAGCACAAGTTAATGTCGGAGAAAGAGGCGCGATCCATTATCATGCAGATTGTGAATGCTTTAAAATACTTAAATGAAATTAAACCTCCCATCATACACTATGACCTTAAACCAGGTATGCTGTGCTATTAACTGATGTGCTTAAGGATGCTAACTAAAGGTAATGGGTTATAACTAACACGGGGAAGTTTACTGTGGTCAGACAGCAAAAAGGAGCAAAAAGTGTCTGGGAAAACTAACTTGCAACAAGAAAGAAACCTAAGATGCATAGAACATGCTGTGAAAAGGGTATTGTCTCCCCAAATTGCAACATAAAACAAGGAAGTAATGTTCGAGGAAAAAGGTGGCCTCCTTGTTCAGGAGGAGCCCTTGTACCACCAAGTGTCTGTGTTTGGTTTCTTAGTGTCCTGCTTGTATTCTGCTGTTGAGAGCTTCTGTTATTGCTTCATAAAGGTTCCCATAATTACTAATGAGTTTTATGTTCCCATTCTTCTGGCTTATTCTTTCTGTAATCATCTGCCTGAAAACTTGGTGTGAGAAGCTCACTTGGAAGTGGTTGGTTTTTGGTATTGTGTGGCAGCTCACAAAGCTGAGGACGTACAGTCACGCTGTTTGCTCAGGTCTGCCTTTGAGTTCGGTAACATCTGCCATGTAGAAGGTCTTCTCCAAGTGTTGTTGCAGATTTCCCTTTATCGTTGGGCAGAGTCACGAAGGGAAACATGGCAGTGCTCTCTTTTGGGGTGATGTGTGTATTGGCTGTGTAGCTTTTTCTTAGTCCAGTAAAATTCAGCCACCTCTTCCAGCAGTTAGCCCTGGCTTGTCTCCCTGTACTGGTGGCACTTCATCAGCATTGTGTAACTGGTGTGTGATGTGGTTTATTGCATCAGCGTGAGGAATCTGTGCAGGAGGTGGTGCTGTTGCACTAGTTCTAGTGACCCTGTTTCTTCCCCCAGCTGCTGACTGTTCTCATGTTGTCTGAGCACGCTGCAGAGCTCTGCCTACAGTTGTCTAAAGCTGTGATTCTTCCGCTGCCATCACGCACGATTCTGCTACTTTATTGTAGGCTTTGAGAAAAACAGTGATGATGTGACTTCTTGATCCTTGATGGATTTGTAAAAGACTCTTGCCTAAGCAGTAATTGTCCTTTTTGAGCTTAGAAAGCCACTGGGGAGCACTGCCAGGAGGAAGAGAGTTTCTGGCTGTTGAGAGGCCAGGGCAAGTCAGGACTTCTGGGCAGGATGAGTCATAACTGTGTATGTGTATTTCTCTCCTTCATTCTCCTTTTTGACCTGCCCTTCCAACAGGACCTTTGGGAGGGGTCAAAACACCACGGGCATCAAGATCATTTGGCTAATGGAGCCTCCAGATTCTGAGCCCTAAGTAATGTTGGGGCACTGGATCATTCAAGGACGGGCAGATCAGTTGTAGCACTTGGTGGGAACTGAGTTGTCTCCAAAGCTCAGGATATTGGGTGTTAAAACATCTATCCCAGGCTGCTGCAGCTCACTGTGTAGATTCCTCGTCCTCTCGTGCAGAGTTCAATGCAATCTCATTCTTATTTTTTTTTCCTGCTAGATGTGTATCCTAAGGGGCTGTTTCCTTCTTCTGTCTAGGTAACATTCTTCTAGTCAATGGTACTGCATGTGGAGAGATAAAAATCACAGATTTTGGACTTTCCAAAATCATGGATGATGACAGCTACAACTCTGTTGATGGCATGGAACTGACATCGCAGGGGGCTGGTACTTACTGGTAAGTGTTGCCTGGGGCACTTGCAAGTTAAAGATCAAGAACAGTTATAAACAGCTTGGGATCAATGTCAGCTCTGTATATGCTGCTATTGTCTGTGACAGCTTGAGACACCGGAGGTTTGAGACCCTGGAAACTGCTCTTGTTGTCACACAGTTCTTTTGGAGGCTGGCAGCTTTTTACTTTTCAGTGGGTTAGTGTTTATATCATCTCTTATCCAAAGGGCCCGGTGAAAAACTATATGCTGCTGAGATGGTGAGCTCTGGAGTGGAGCTTGGCTGCTCTATCACAGTTCATAATGGCACTGTCTGACACTTTAAGCAAGGAGGAGAATACTATGCTATTTGGAAATTCAGGTACATCAGGGAGATGTAAAGTGTATTTCACTCAGATGAGGAGTTAAAAATCCATAGTTAGCTCTTAGAAAAATTGTAAATCTCACAGTGCTGTCTGTAGCCAGAGTTTCACTTTCAAGTGCCACATGAAAGAGATTTTCAGCAATACTTTATCCTCAGTGCCAAGCGTTGTCACTGCATCACCCATGGCTGAGAGCAAGACCTACGGTGAGTGCCACTGAGTGTGATTCTTAGATATTACCCGAGCTGCAGACTGTCACTATGGGCAGCTGTTGTATAGGAACATTTATTGAAACATTCTATATTGTACAGTTTTGTTCTGTTCCTAAAAATGAAACTAGCTGTAGTTTGAGCAAGGCTGAGTGTCTCTTAACTAGGACGTGGCATCTGGGGTTATATTTCTGGAAATATGTATTTTGGCTCTGTGTTTCTATTGTGGGATTGTTGGCTGAGCCCTTTTAACAACAAATACCAGTTCTGAAGATAAAAGAAAATGGGATTATTTTATGTGCTTTGGTGAAAGGAAACTGACTGTGCTGACTAGCTCAGACCATGAGTGTCTGGGGAGTCCTTGGGATCACTGTTCCTGGAAGGGGATGTGCAGTGGTGATCTTGGCCCAAAGATGCACAGGAATGAAATGGGGTTCTTCGAGTCCCAAGCCAATATCTGCTCACAGAAGCTTGTTCCTTCCTTTTTAAAGAACATGATTGAATGTATTTGGGGATGCTGCTCATAACCTGTTGTCACTTCCTTCTAATCAGGTATTTGCCACCAGAATGTTTTGTGGTTGGGAAAGAACCTCCAAAGATTTCAAATAAAGTTGATGTCTGGTCAGTGGGAGTCATCTTCTATCAGTGTCTCTATGGCAGAAAGGTAAGAAGGCATTTAACTCCTTTCCTAGTGATGATTCCCAAACCTTTTGGGAAGCAGCCCTGGCTTCTGCTTTCTTCTCCTCCCCAAGCTTAGAGGGTGCTTCTGCCTTGTTTCCTTGCCATCATTTCCAAGGCAGAGTCCATGCTAATGAAGTGGGGGGAATTTACTAGGTTGTGTTTTGCTCTACATGGCACTTCCTTCAAAAGTGATGTTTTGCAGAACATCTTTTTCCACTGGCCATGTCCCCACTGAGACCATTATGGGCAGGACAAGTGGATCGTTCAAGGCCAGACACCTGAGGTTCTTGGTCTGGCATTGTTTTGTGATGCTTTCAATGCACTAAGTCTTTGTTGAGCCTGATACTGCTTGGCAGCTACAAGTGTTAGAAAAAAAGGGAGGGACAAAGACCCACTCTGGAAGTTTTTAAGGATGGCTTTTGGAAGGGAAGAGTCTGGATCAGGAAAAGGTGATTTGTCCTGAGATAAGGTAGTTTGTTTCATGACAACAGAAGAAATAGGTTGGAGCAGGAAAAGGGTTCCATCAACTCTTGTTTTCATGAGTCCTTGGTAACAGTGTGTTGTGAAAGCCTGGACTGGCAAACACACCGTGTTGCTTAGTGTTGTCAGTCAGACAAATGGTGGAACCAGCCCAGGAAAGATCGAAGTGGGTGAATCTCCTGTCAGCTCAGACAGATGAAGGCCCTCTTGCACATGCTGAAGCTGACCTATGAAGTCTGGAAGCAGGTGGAGATCCATTCTGAGCCGGAGATACCCCAGACACATTCCAGCTTGGTCTCTTGTTCAGTTTAAGCGTGGGAGCAATGTGTCCTGCTCATCTGACTGGAATCTGCAGCACCTCAACAGCATACATGGGCTTCTTGCCCAGAAGAATGCTGATGTCGAGTGATGATAAACAGTAGTGTTACTGGGTTTTTAAGGCCTGTCACCAACCTTTAACAATTGTCTTCTATTTTTTTGGTAGCCCTTCGGTCACAACCAGTCACAACAAGATATTCTGCAAGAGAACACAATTCTGAAAGCTACCGAGGTGCAGTTCCCTCCAAAGCCAGTAGTCACGCCAGAAGCAAAGGTAAATCTTTTTGCAGCCAGTTTGATCACACCGTGTGTGTCAGTCAGCAGTTGGCACTGGCAGTTCCTTCTTTTTGCTTTTCCCTAAAATCAGCAGGAGTTCTGTGGTTCATGCTTGCCTCCCGCAGCGTGGGCCATGGCTTTGCGTTGTAGTTATCAGGCTGAGGATTGAGCAGAGTGCAGCGTGTGCTTTCCCCTGATAAAAGATGAGCTTCTGGTGTAGGAGCTGAGCCGTCTCTGTGGTCACTGGGGAAGGAATTTCAGCACTGGAGTTGTCAGATTGGCCCTGCTCCCAAAGAGTTAATCTGTCAAAGTTAAGTTTCCTGTTTCTATGCCTCTACTAATTCTTGTTTTGCCTTTGGGGTATCTGCAGGCATTTATCAGACGTTGTTTGGCCTACAGAAAGGAGGATCGGATAGATGTCCAGCAGCTGGCCTGTGACCCGTACTTGCTGCCTCACATCCGCAAATCTGTATCCACAAGCAGCCCAGCTGGAGCTGCAATTGCATCAACCTCTGGATCATCCAATAACAGCTCTTCAAACTGAGACAGAGTAATAGGCCAAAAAACTGCTTGAGAAACCGGCAAAAAGACTTACAGGAACAGCTTTGGAATAGAGGAATCCGCAAGGGTCTCGAGAAGCCTGTACCAGGTGCTTTTTTTTCTCTTGCTTTTTTCCATCCATAGAGCATGACAACATCAACTCTCATCAAGAAAACCTTCGGCATCTAGGCCAAGCCATGTGGATAGGAGGTGGCTTGAGGTTTATCCAGTAAATGACCACAAAAGGGTGGCTGCTCTGAGCAAGGAGGGGAAACTCAAGAATATACAAAAAAGACATGGTTCCATGTACTGTGAACTTCTGAACATGCAGCCTTGGGGAATCCAGGACGCCGTGTGTGCTTCATATGAAGAATGTGGACTTTGGAAAAAGACTGGGCTAGTCCAGTGTTGATATTTAAACATTGTTCTTTTTCTTTTAATAAAGTTTAGGTAACATCTCCTGAAAAGCTCGAAGCACCAAGGTTCAGCTGGGGATGGTATATGACTCTTTGCCCTTTGGAGGGGAAAAAAGTTGATCCTGCCTGTTCATGGCACTAGAGTTAGTGTTTTACCCCTAATTAATTTCAGTTTTTTAAAAATAACAATTTTTTGGAAGAAAACAGTTTTCTGGTCTCAAAGTGAAACCCGTATTAGCAGGTTCATGGCAGTGTCCGTTCTGCGGACGGTGCAGCTTTCTGCCTCCTGGGGGTGGCCTCTTATGAACAATTCACCTTCTCAGGAGGGCGGTGAAGCCCATAGGAGAACAGGCCTGCGTAGATTTCCTGTGATGAGAGTGGATCATGGCTCAGTCTGCCACACGGTTTTCAGCTGCTGCTTCATAGCTCTCACAACGGTTGCACCTTTTTTAATTTATTGGAAGTGCTGTTCTTTTTGAAGACACACCCTGACATGTTCACGATATGCTCTCTGCTCTTGTGAGCGTGATACCTGTTGACTGTTGAAAAGGCAGGCAGTGAAGGGGAAAGAATCAGAGCACAGCTCAGTTGATCACAGGTGTGATCTGTGCTCATCTAGTACTGTACATATCTTGTTCATGTTCTAAAAATCTGAAGCTGAAGACTTGTCTGCTCTTCTCAGTGAGGTGACTTGGCAGCAAAGCTTCCTCTCTCTCTTAACACTTTCCTTTTAAAACTTGCTGACTTTCCTAACTTGCTGCCATCGTTGCATCCGATTTCACATGAGAGGGAATGAGATAATGTTCTAGAAGGGAGCAAACACCCTAATTATTATTTTGGTCTCCCTTCTGTAATCTGCCTGGAGGAGTCTCATACCTTCAGCTAGAGTCTGCCTGCTGTGAAACTCAACCTTCTTGCCTCCACTCTGCCCTCTTTTCCCCCCGCATTGAAGGAAAACTGAAAACACACACAAAAAGCACAGCACTTGAACATGTGGCAGCCAGGTTGGAGCGCTCCTAACATGTGGCAGGAGTTCATAGCCAGAAATATTTAAAGATGCAGTGTTCAAGGGCAAGGTTTGTCTCGGGAGGGAGCCGAGTGGTGCACTACTGCAATCCAGGGTGTTGTTTAAAAAACAAATTACCCTGTGCACACTTCCTAACCTAAATCCCAGACCACCGTGGTGTGAACTATCCTCTGTGTGACACTTCCAGGATTGTTCCCACAGCTCCGCAGCGTGTGGGTTCTTTGGGGAGCTCGGTACCCAAACGGCATACTCATGGCAGGCAGTGTTCTCCCTCACACACTTTTGGAGAGAACTACCACTTGTCTGCCTTATTGTAAGCCATCATCTGCAAATATTACACTTAAACCTGATCAGGAACTTGTGGTTAACTGCAAAGTGGAAGAGTCTGTTGAAATTAAGCAATGGACCTGGGCTGTGGAGAACTCTGCCGCTTTGATTTTTATTACTATTTTTGTAGCGACTCTTGGGCTTTTAATTGGATACATTCACTTGCAGCTGCATAAGGTGGTCTCTAAACTGTAGTGTTTTGAACCAAGAAAAGAAATACTGCATCTTTAAATCCTCAACCATAATTTCTTAGTTCTTTCCATCCCTGCTGCTCTATTCCAGAAGTTAACTGTTTAGCAAGCAGCACTTTGACATGTCTGTTCCGCCTCTGCCAGGTGAAATCAGGGTTGATGCTTCATCCCGTTTGCTAAAACAGATGATTGGTGTCTGTCCACATTGGGGAGAATTCTAAAAGGGTTTTTTCTATCCCGGTCCCGTTGTTTCTTGGACATAACAGTGTGTGCTATCTCTGTGGGTGTGATTAGTTTTGTGTCAGATGCATTTATTCCTGCTAAACCTGCTGTGCGACACCCATCCAGGGGCCTGGGGACAGCATTGGCCTTTCCTGGGGCTGATGGCAGTGAAGAACCCTGGTAGAATTCTAGCTGCGACACCTTCCTTGTTAATATGGGTTTCACTTCCAATAACAGACCCTATTGCCACACTGTTCATTTACTTAAAGAAAAGTGTATGAAGAATTTGTAACTTAAACCAGGCCAGACTGTTTTGGCTCTACCCAACAGATGAGACATGGATATTAAAATAAGTTTTAAGAAACTGATTTGCTTGGCTCTCACTGTTTTGCTCTTCGTAATGTTGGCGTGAGCTGTCTTGTAGTGGCTGCACGGAGGTGACATGGGACAAGATGAGGAAGGATGAAGGAAGGTTGCATTCAACAGCTCAGAGCAGTGAGATCTCAGCGTGGGAGCGGGGAAATGCCGGGAATTACTGAGTCTTGTTTAATTATTGGCATTGATCTTGTTCTGGCACATCAAGACAGACATCTGAGGTGGGTTTGTCCCTCATTTCCCATAAAGTAGTAGCCACCTTAGGGAGCTATGTATGTTTGGGACACAAAAAGCACCTTTTTTTGTCTGTTGATTGCAATTAGCATTGAACTCCCCTGCCATGGCTACCTGTGCTGAGAGCTGGTAGCCGCTGCCTGCCGGCCACTCCCCAGCCCGTGGGCACCCGAGGCTCCAGTCTCAGTCACTCAGAATAACTCAGCTCCTTTAATTTCTCACAGCTGAGTCTTGTCAGCTTTAAAAACATAAAACAGAAAATGTAAAACAGGCAGCTGAAGATGTCAGGTTAGATCTGGACTAATAACCAGGGAGTGCCAGTTCACACACCCAGCTCCTCTGCGGGCATCTCCCAACCTCCATGCGGGACATCCCGGCTGTGGAGTGGGGTGGTACCTGCCTGCCAGAGGAATTGTCACTGGGATCAGGGTTTCTCTGCAAACCTGACATCACCCTTGCTGCACTAGAGGTTCGAGTCAGCTTTCAGCTGAAGGCGAGTGAAACTGAACACCCAGAGCAGCTCAGCTCCCTCCCTGCTGCTGCAATTGATTATTTCTCAGCCCCCTGTGCCAGTTTTGATGATGCGACACAGATTTGGGGCAGGAGGAGGTGGCGGCAGCGTTTCAGCAGCGACTGCACAAGCATCCTGTGGTGATAGCGGTGGTCAGGCCTCCAAGGCCAGGTAGCCACCACGCGTGCGTGGCGTGCCCGGGAGCAGGGACTACGTGGGATTAAGCTCGTCTTTATGCCAGCAGTAATGAGATTTACCGAGGGGCTGCGTGGCTGGATGCTTCGCCTCCTGCATTAGTGGTTAGGAGTCATGCTCTGAAATGAGCTTCCTTCTGCCAAATGGGCCAGTCCCAGTTTATTTTGTGACCTGGCAAACCCTCGACGTGAGGTTTGCTACCGCTGCCAGTGTCTCCCTGGGATTTGCTGCTGGAGGATGTTATTTTCTGGGTGCTACGCAAGCCTGGCTCAAGCAGCCTTGACTTAAACCTTCCCGCTCCCAATGCAGAGGGGAGAGGGGACTTGAAACACATGGAAGCAGGACCTGGTGCAGCCCTGATCTCCACCCAGCCCAGAGGTACCTTTTCTACCAATTGCCAACAAATCTTTGTCCCGAGACCCTGAATTTCCACCACAACACCTGCCTGTGTGTGCCCATGGTCTCCGCTTTGCCCTGGCCCCGGCGCTGCCCTTGGGGACAGCTGGGTGCCCCACAGCCATCACCCTGGGTGGGGGTGAGGGGCCAAGTAAACGCGGAGCTGCTCGGCCTCCTCTCACCACGTTCACACCCAGGAACAGGCGTCTTGGCCACAAGGACACTATTGTCTGAGCCGGGGCTGAGGCTGACACACACTCTCATTTGATGCATTATCTGTGTGGGGGCTGGAAGGACGGGAAAAGCTGCTGGCACGTGCTGTCTGGTGAGGAGCCGTGTACTCCTCCGTGCTCCTCTTCGCTCCCAGCCTTCCATCTTCCCATGGGATGGATTGCCACAGCCTTTCTTCTCCCTCCATCCTTTGACTGCAGCTCAGTGTTTCTATTGCTTTGTTGCTCCTCATTTCCAAATACCCACTGGCTGCTGGGTCAGTGCAGGAGAGGCTTGGTGCTTCAAGGTGGGTCAGTGCAGGAGAGGCTTGGTGCTTCAAGGTGGGTCAGTGCAGGAGAGGCTTGGTGCTTCAAGTTGATCCAGTAAAGCCTAAAAATAGAGGTTAGCCACCATCTGCCCCACCAGTGTGGGATGAGCCTCGCCAATCTGCAGGCAGCCCTGGCCAGGAGCTGCTCTCCTATCTGCTCTTGGGCTGCAGGGATGGGGCAGAGGGGTGCAATGGTCCAGCTGGAGCTGAAATGGCATGCTAAATGAAATGGATGGAGCTAAAAATGCAGGATGTTGGGAGGAGAAGCAGGGTGAAGACAGGGAGACTCAGCCTCGTGTGCAGGCCAGACCTCCCATCCCAGCTCACGCAGCCGTGGGTCACGCAGGCGGCGGGTTTATAAGGTGCTTGGCTCTGGTTTGCATTCATGGGAAGAAAAAAAGCAGAGCTCTGCTCAGCCCTGTCCTCTCTTGACCGAAACTGCTGGCTGTGTGGGAGCCATGAGCATGCACTGGCCAGGGGCCGCGGGACAGAGGCTGCCGTGTCGGCAACCTCCTCGCTCTTGGCCTGGCTCAGCTCCGCACCGAGATCAGGGCTCAGAACCTGCTTTGTTCAGCATTGGCTCATCCCAGCTCCTGCTAATCCCAAAAATCCACCCACTCGCACCCAAACTCAGGAGACTGGCTGGGATTGATGCCAAAACTCCTCCAGGCTAAAGGGACCCAAAGGAGATGGTGAGGGATGGAGGTGGCCATGGCTACGAGGTAAGGCGGTGGCAGAGGTGGAGACGAAGCATCAAGGGCTGACTGTGTGGCTGCTGGACCATGCTGTTCCTTCTGGAAAGGGCCACGGGATGGGGTGGGATCTCCATTCCCAGTCTCATCCCCGC